GTCTTTTTTTTTTTTTTTCTGTTCTGATTGTGTGATTTTTTTTTTTTTCTATTTGTCTTCAAATTCACTGATTTGATCCTCTGCTTCACTCGGTCGACTGGGGAGTCCTTCCAGTGTATTCTGTATTTCAGTTATGGCATTTTTCATTTATACCTGATTATTTTTCATGGTTTTCATATCCTTTTTTATGGTGGTGGTTTTCTCACAAGTTCCATGATCATCCTTATAACCGTTACTTTGACTTCTCTGATAAATTGCTTGACTTGATATCATTTAGCTCTTTTTCTGGAGTTTCTTCCTGGTCTTTCATTTGGGGTTTGTTTCTTTGTCTCTCCATTTTGGCTGTCTCTTTGTGTTTGTTTCTATGTTGTAGAAAGAATGGCTATGACTTCCAGTCTTCATGGGGTGACCTTCTGTGGTAGGTTCCTGTGTCTCCCAGGAGTGCAATCTCCTTGATCTCCTGAGCTGGGAGCTCTAGGAATGTCTCTTGTGTGGGTGTTTGGACCCTCCTGTTGTAATTGTGTCTTGATTGCAGATGGCCCTTTTGTGGTTGGGATTGACCCTCATGCTAGTTTTGACTACGAGGCTCAGCCCAACCCATGGTGTGCAGACTGCTGTTCAGGTCTCTCAAGGTGTCTTGATGGGCTCAGTGGTGCAGTCTTTAACCCTTTAGATTGGGTGTCCATAGAGGTAAACCTTTATCATCATGTATGAGATGCTGTACAGAGGCTCCTCCCCAAAGTGGGTTGTTCTCAGTAGTGTCTGGGACCTACTGGGACCTACCTTTGAATTTGTTGTTGTTTGTCTAGTTGGTTGCAGTTCTGGTGTGATCTGAGGCTCATCACTGGTTGTGATGGTCCTGAGTCCTTTCTGATCCTTCTGGGTGGGCTTCAGGTGCAGGTCGCTGTGCGACATTGTGTGTAACTCACTGGACTGCCTCTGTGTAGTTACCACTCTGTTTACATTTTGTGTCTGCATCTGCTAGACCTGTGTGTTCATGGGAGGGACCAATCTGTATAAATGGGTCAGCCTCTTTTAGCTTAAAGCTGGCGGCAAGTGTGTGGTCAGTCTGAGGCTCCAGAGGTCCTCCTCCACCTGTCAGCTACTCCATCTCCCCCCTGAGGTTGCCTGGTCTTTGTCCAGTGTCTTCTGAACAGAGTTTTCAGGGTGGACCCAAGCTAGCCTAGCTCAGGCTAGTGCCCCACCCCCATGCTTAGAGATTATGCAGTCAGGCACCCAGTGAGGGGAAATTAGTCTTTGCTTCAAAGCCAAGCTCCTCAGTCTTTACCATAGACTCCAACTCTAGTTCCCCCTGAGGTGTCCTGCTGCAGGTTCAGGTTGGGTACAGCTTGCAGTCTTCTTTGCAGGAGCAGTTCCAGCTGCCCTGGGCTTAGGGGATTGGTCAAGAGTCCCTGGATGAGAATATTGCAGGCCCAGCCTGCAGGAGGGGCCTGAGCACTTCCTTCTGGTCGCAGACCATAGCTTCTGAGGGTCTCACTGTTGGGATGCCCTGTCTGCACAGCTCTCCCTTCCCCCACAGAACCGTGCCCACAGGAGAGTCTGGGGCTTCACAGAGCTGAACTGGTTTCCTTTGGGGATGGTGTTCAGAGCCTGCAGAACAGGGAGACAGGTTCTAATTCTCCTTCCTGAGGTTGCCTGGCCAAACTCCGGGAGTCTGGGTCAGCCCCCACAGTGCAGTCACCAAGCTCAGCACTCGCTTGTCTGTCTCCCCAATAGAAGCCTTCCCAGGGTACAGTCCAAAATCCGAGCTCTGGGTGGAACGGGTGCCCTCACGGCACAGTAGGCGGGACTAGAAAATCAGCCCAGTGCAGGACTGGATCTCTCCACGCAGCTGGGCTCAGCAAATCGTGGCTGAAATTTTGTTAGTGCTCTCAACTCTCCTCATTATGGGGGACGGGGAGCAGGGGGCAGATCCTCGACCTGCCTTGCTCCTTTGTGTCGCTAATTCTGCAGGACTGAGCAGTCTGGAGGCTCCACAGGTTGGAGAAGAGGTTTCAACCCCACACCTGAGGTGGGAGAATCCTTTCCTCAAGCCAAACAGTTCAGGCACTAACCGGGCTCCCACAGTGCCTCTGATGGACCCGGACTGCAGCCGACTCCAGCAGTCAGAGCGCTGGGCGGACTTCTCGGGCTGGGCTGCTGACATAGGAGCACCCCTTCACTGGGAAGTGGGGCCTGTTTCCTAGGCAGACAGGATTCCCCTGGTTCCCTCTGCACGGTGCTTGGTGGACTCTTCTTGCAGGGTCTGCTGCTCTGGGTGCGGGATCCCTTCGTGGGGTGGAGACCCTACACTCTCAAGGGGTGGGGGCCTGGCAGGTGCATGCAGCCTCCTGTCACTCTGCACCCTCTTCAGTCCTCGGCTTTTATGTGATCTCACGTGTGCTCTTAGGTTGTTCCCGTCACAGAGAACTCACTAGGGATTTCCTTACTTGCCTTCTCATGTTTCCTTTCAGATCGGACTCTTCCTTGCTTTTCATGCTGTGGTCATTGTTTGTTCCTCCTCCTCTTTTATCCCTCGAGTGCCGTTCCTTTTCATCTTGCTAGGTGAAGGCTTAGATCGCTAGGTCAAGACTTCGTGTTTGCCCTGAGGAACCATGGGTGGACTCCCAGCCTTTCTCACCTGAGCTGGACTTCATTTCCTCCTCTCGCCACCCCTCAGCAGATCCTGTGAGCGCCTGCCGTTCTGTCTGCTGTCTCTCGAGCGGGAGGTGCGGTGCTGTGGGGGAGGCCCTCCTTCCCGTGTCGTTGGCGGCGTCGTGTCCTGAGTGGCCTCACTCCATCCCACGGAGGCTGTCCTGCACTCCCAGGACCTCAGACCCTCCCTCAGCGCAGAATGGTGCCTCGGAAGCAAACAGGTTCAGTGGTCACTCTGCCTCCACTGAGGGTTCAGAGCTTCTGTGCTGGAGATTTCTCCTGGACTGTTCTGGGGCCAAATCGGATATTTCTGTCCAGACTGGAGGATATTCATGAACACCGTCAAGTTTACTAACCTGTTTCTCTCATCGCTGCTCCCAGGCGGTGCAGTCAGGCCCGGGTGGGAGCCAGGCTCTATCGGACAGAATCTTTCTGGCCGCTACGTTTTTTTTATCCTCACCTGAGGATATTTTTTCCATTTATCTTCAGATAGAGCGGGAGGGAGAGAGGGAGGAAGAGAGAGAGAGAAACAGTGATGTGAGAGAGACACATTGAGTGGTTGTCACCCACACGACCCAAACCCGGGCTGGGGACAAACTGCAACTGAGGTGCGTGCCCTCAGTAGGAACTGAACCCGGGTCTCTCTGGTCTGCCGGCTGATACTCTAACCGCTGAGCCAAACTGGCCAGGGCAAACCACTACATTTTTTTAAATTAATTTTTTGCCATCACCGTTGATTCCTCTATACCCTCTTCCACCCCCCACCCCCCCGCAGTCACCACACTGTTGTCCATGTCCACGATGTGTGTCTGTCTCTTTGCTTTTCTTTTTCTCAATCCCTCCACCCCTCAGCCCCCCTCCGCCTGCTGATAGCTGTAGAGGCTCTTAGTTTAAACAGTTTCTTGTTTGACTACAGCTGGGCCGGGGGGGGGGGGGGTTGTTTGTTTGTGTTTTTAATTCTCACCCAAGGATGTTTCCATTGATTTGAGAGAGAGACAGAGAAACATCAACGTGAATGAGCGATCGGTTGCTTCCGGACTGGGGAGCAAACCCCAAACCTGGGTATGTGCCCTGACTGGGAATTGAGCCGTGACCCTTCAGTGCACAGGACGACGCCTCAGCCAACTGAGCCACACTGGCCAGGGCAGCTGGTGGTTCTGGCTAAAACAGTCATACACATACATGCACACATATACTCACATACATGTATATGTGTATACTTTTCCCTTTTATTAGTTATTGGGGACAGGAAGTTTGATTCTGCTTTAGCCCACCATCTTTACTTGAATCAGGTCTGATTTCCTAAGTATTATTTTTGACATAATTAATAACACATATGTACTCTAGAAACTCTCTAATTCTAAAGATCATGGATGACTTGGAATTGATTTTTTAATGAAAAAAATAGAACTAACAAATTAAAGATAATATCATAAGATGTAAGTTAAGCACATCAGTGACCCTAATGCATGCATATTTCTTGTATTTACATTTTGCTCTTGTGTGTGCTTTTATCAAATTTTTATAAATTTCCATGAATGTATACTTAGTGGTCATATTTCTTTTAATGATAGGATAAACATTTTAATATTTCTATCTTTTTAAGCTCATCATATGACGTGTCACAATTTATTAAACAGTTACTCAAACAGAGGACACTAATTATTTCAAGTTTTATGTTCTTGAACATTTTGTGTTTGTTTTGTGTTACCTTTAAAATAAATTGGAAAGGTTCAGATTAATGGACTAATCAACTATATTAAATCATTATATTTCTTACCCTGGCACTAACCATGGTATCTGTTTATATTACTGGATAAAAATTCCTTTGAGATTATTTCTTAAAATGACAGCTGATATCTCAGCCCTTAATGCTATCAGACATTTGGTACTATTGTATTTTTTACCTGTATCCGTCCCAAGACTTCGGTAATGGAAGTTTAAAAATGTGTTCTATTTTATATAAAAAAAAAGCACATGTTTATATTTTTAAAAAAGATAATATTACCCAAAGTGAAAGAAGTAATTTGGGTTAAAATTAAAAGATACGCTATAGAAGTGTTTTGTGTTTTTTTTAAATAGTCTTTGATAGTCTAATTTTATTATTTTTGGATTTTGCTATCATCATCCATGGCCCAGGTTTATAAAAGTGTTTATTTTCTTCTAACAATGTTATTAATTTAATTATTGCATTCAGTACTTATTAAGAGTTTTGTAAGAATCATGAGTAGCTTTGGGGCTTTGCTGCATTTAATTATATAATAATATACATTCATATTGTGTAGTAATCTATGTAGTTATCCTTATTTAGGAATGTTTAATCTTTTTTTTTTTTGTCTCCTCAGATTCTGTCAAATTTTAAGAACAAATGTACCTTATAGCTCATGGAAGAAAAAACACAAATCAAGACATATTTGGGATCCAAGTTGCCAAAGTATGGAACGAAGTCTGTAAGAAGTACACTGCAGCCAGTGCCAAATGGGACACCTGTTAATTTATTGGGAACTTCCAGAAGTAGCAACATCAAAAGTTACATCAGAAATAATGGCTCTGATTGTCCATCATCCCGTTCATTTAATTGGAGAACAACTAAGTACCAGCTTAGTGCACAGAGTGCTGCAGAAGCCCGTGATGCTCAGACTTCACATGATAACCTAACTGCTCTTGGAGAACATGCACCTGCTCAAGGAATGTTTGCCAACAGTGGGGTGCAGGGAGGTTTGAAAAGCGTTTCTCTGTTCACATCAACCTTAGCAAAGCCGTCCACTATGTTTGTATCATCAACAGAGGAGTTAAAACAAAAGTCTCTGTCTGGACCGTCTAATTTGGGTAAATTCACCAAAGGCACGTTGTTAGGAAGGACTTCGTATTCTTCAGTCAGTGCTCCCAAGTCCCAGTTGAATGGGTTTTATGTAAACCGATCGGCTGGTAGCATACAGAGGCCTAGAGCAAACTCCTGTGCTACCAGAAGCAGTTCTGGAGAAAGCTTAGCACAGTCCCTAGACAATATCAAATCTCTTACTTGTGAAAAGATGGTAAGGTCTCAGAGTTTTTCACATTCCATTCAGAATTCATTCTTCCCACCTTCATCTATAACCAGGTCACATTCCTTCAATAGAGCTGCAGATCTTATTAAGCCTTATCAAAACCAACAACTACCTGTCCGAGTGCCTCTGAGGTCAGGTATGCTAGCAAGGAGTCCCCAGCAGTCAGAGGCACTCAATGGGAATGAGCATTTAGGGTATGGCTTTAATCGGCCTTATGCTGCTGGTGGGAAGAAGTTGGCTCTACCCAGTGGCCCAGGTGTGACCTCTGCTTTGGGTTATAGGATGGTTCATCCTTCTCTACTGAAATCTAGCCGATCTCCGTTTTCTGGGACTGTCACGGTCGATAGTAATGAAAATTCACCTGCTGGCACATGTGTAGGGGAAGACACTGCACTTTTGGCTAAGGACAGAGCTGCAGACAAGGACCAAGAACTAGTTGAAAACGATAGTTATAGAACAGAAAATGGCCAGGCAACGAAGCATGATGCAAAGATCAGATACCTGAGTGATGATGTGGATGACATTTCCTTGTCTTCTTTGTCATCTTCTGATAAGAATGATTTAAGTGAAGACTTTAGTGATGATTTTATAGATATAGAAGACTCCAACAGAACTAAAATAACTCCAGAGGAAATTTCTCTCAAAGAAGAAAAGCATGAAAATGTACCACCAAAGGATATATTTGACTCCCCCAAGGAAAATGAAAAATCCTTCAGTAAAACTGATGAATGGATAGATATAAGTGTCTCTGGTAAATATTAATATTCTTATGTTTGCTTTCTCCTAGATAGTAGAACTGAATTTACATTTAAGGTTATCTTCTGATTAAATCCATGATACTATCAATTTCATGGAGGGATGGATCTAGATAAGATAGGAGTGGGGCATCATTCCTCTTCCCTGTGATTTTGGCTCCCTGTCCCATTTGTCACTTATCTGGGACATCAGTAAAGTGGTCCATCTCCTAAGGTGTCTCACCTTTTTCTTTTTGACTGTTACACACAGACTTATTCCTTCTTCAAAGTTCTCACTTCCTCCAGCAGGTGGCATACCATTTTAAATCATCGCTTTTCTTGGGGTGATAGATCATCGCTATTTATTAAGAGTAAAGATATGCCAAAGGATAAATGAGCAATTATGTCTAATCTCATGAATTTTCTTATCCTCGGAAATTTTAATTTTTTTAAAGGGAGACTTAGATTTCTTGTTATAGCAAGTTTCATAGTTAATACTTTCAGAGAACCTTTATTTTTTTAATTGAAGAAAATGAGATAGCACTTGTTAAACATTTTCTTATTTTTGGTTATGTTAGCAGTAAATGCCAGAGAAAATTTATCCATGTGCCTGTATAGCCTGAAAAAAGAACAAACGGAAGGGTTTGGGTAGAGACATGTGGCCTGGTCAAGGCCTTAGGCCCCACCTGGAGATGTCTATACCCTTTCACTGTCCGAGAATATTCTGGGTAGGAGTGAACAGCTCTTGCTCATAAGGAGGCACCTGCAGAGTTACATGATACACTTAGAGGAAGGAGTTTCCTGGCCAGTGCTTAAATGTAAATATCTTAGGAAGTATTAAAGGGGTATTAGGCTTTACTTACATTTCTAGAAATGTTGGAGAAGTGAAAAAATGGCTCAGTGAATTTTCTTTATAACTATCAGGATACATTTCAGAAGGTTATTTTCAAAATTCTACCTCTAGATTTATTTGTTGTTTTGAAGTTAGAAAATGCTACAGTTATTAATGCTTTTTTCTAACTTTCTTGCTATATGTCAACTTTTTATTTTATAATTATAAAAATATGTTATTATTTTGAAACCTGAGAAATATATATTTTTGTGAATTAATAAGTTTTTTCTCTTTTAAAAAATTAATTGAAGACAGGAGTGAATGTATAAAACCTACTTCTGGAAATACCTTGATTTCACCAGACACAGACTACAGAGCTGGCTCTTCCTTCGAGCTCTCTCCGTCCGACAGCTCTGACGGGACATACATGTGGGACGAAGAGGGCCTGGGGCCCATTGGGAGTGTCCCCCCAGTGGGGAGCTACGAGTCCTCCGAAATGAACAGCATGGTATGTGTGGGTTTCTGTGCACTTTTGAAATGGTTTATCTTACTGAAGTGAGACTTGTGATGTTGACTGGATTATTTTAGGTTAATGAATTAGCTCTCCTAATTTGAGAATGGAAATTTATGTGTGTTAAGGGCCTATAAAACATCTCATCATACAGAGTAAAGCACATATTTGTGTCACATGACACGTGAGTTACGTATACTCTCGTACACATTTGTAATGCATACATATATACACAGAGACATCAGCTAGGCTGATGGTTCTCAGAGTGGGGGAAGGAGACATTTTGGTTCTCACGCTGAGGGGTGCTACTGCAAATGGAGGGTAGACAGCAGGGATGGTGCTTAATGTCCTGTAAGGCACAGGACAGCACCCACTGCAAAGAAGTCTCCAGACCCAGATGTCAATAGTGCTACTGTTGAGAAACCCTGGTCAACTCTCAGGGCTTAACATGATAAAAAGTTGTTTCTTACTCTTACAAAGGCTATTGTAGGTGTGAACAACTCTGTAGGGCAGCTGTCTTAAGTGTCCCAAGCTGTGCTGACTTTGGGGCTTCCTTACCATGTCGTTTTGAGGCCCTGTCTGGTCACTGGTGGAGGAAGAGTGCCTGTGGGTCCCAGACACGCAGTTACTGGCTTTGGCCTGCAGATGGCACAGGGACCTTCCACACAGGCCTGTGGAGCCAAAGGAAGGTTAAGTTGTAGCTGTTTTCCTGTGAGCCTGGAGGGCAAGGCAACCAGATGTGGGTGTACTAGGAGACCTCCATGCGTTTCTACATAGTATTTTAAACATTGCAAGTGATGTGTACGATATGCTTATGTGAGTGAAGTGTGGTTGGTGTGTTTAAAGTGACTCGTTGTACTTACTCAGCATATAATACATGGCTTTCCAGTCGGCGTGTGGGGAAGTGGTAGGCTTTGTGCATATATTAAACTCCACATGGATTTCAGGCAATGTAATTTTTTTATATTCATATAAACCTGTAACTTGGAAAAAATAGTCATCATTACCAAAGGCATGTTAAGTTGCACAAACATAGAGAAGACAGATTTAATTCAGAGACTATCTCTATCCTATTAGATAAAGAAAGTTAAGAAAAATATTACAGTTTAGGGCTTTATGTGCCTTCTTATTACTAGGACTTTTGAAAGCGAGTACGATTGAAGTGGGAATGAACGTTGTGTCCAGCAGATGGCAGCAGTAAACCACTTAGTACCTGACATTGCTTGGCAGGTTCACCATCTTCAGTTCCTCATGCTTTTTGTCTTAAGGTCTCTTGTCCAGATATCAGTATATTTTACCAGTTTTATTTATATATTTTCTAACCTTTTATTATCACACTTTTTGATACATAGAAAATAGGTTATTATTTTTTGAAAATATAGGCTGTCTTTTTCTTTCAACCTGTGAATTTAGTCTGTTTATGTTTTGCATTTATTGATGTACTTGGACTTCATTCTGCCATCTTATTATTATTATTTTATCCTCACCCGAGGATATTTTTCCATTTATCTTTAGACAGAGTAGGAGGAAGGGAGAGAGAGAAACACGGGGGGAGAGAGAGAAACATCGATTCGAGAGAGACACATTGACTGGTTGCCTCTTGTGTATGATCCTGACCAGGGCTGGGGACGAACCGCAACCGAGGTGTGTGCCCTTGGCCCAGTTCACCGCTGAACCAAACCGGCCAGGGCCATCTTACTATTTTTAACTTGTTTCACTTTCTCTGTTTCTTCTTTCTCCTTTTTTTCTAAAATATTTTAAAAGAGTATCTTTAACTTCTAAGTATTCTCATTTTTCTTGGACTCTATTGCTTTTCACCAAAGGTCTTTCCTGACCCCTGTGTCTGTCACCTTTTTGTCTATCCATTCTCTTCTCCCACACCCACCCTTCCGCCACCACCACCAGGGCTCAGTGGTTCCCGCCGCAGTGCCCCTTCCGCCACCACCACCAGGGCTCAGTGGTTCCCTGCCGCAGTGCCCCTTCCAACCAGGTGGGGCCCAGGAGCTTTCAGCAGCGGGAGCCGGCTGTGTCCCCGCCCACATCTTATTTCCACCCGGGGTGTGCACAGCAGGGTGCTCTCCTGGGGGAGTGCCTTGTGCTGCAGCTGCTTGTCCTGTCCAGGACCCCAGTCAACACTCGAGACTGATTTCTTTGCATAGCACTTGTCTAGAATCTAGGCTATTTTTGTTTGTTTGTTTAAATGCAGTGTTTTGTTGAGATATAATTTACATATAGTAAAATGCACAGATCTTTTTCAGACAGCACAGGGAATTTTGAAAATTTCTGTATGCTTGCTTAACAATCATGAACATGTTTCCTGTGCTTCTCTCAACCCCCACGAGAGGTGCAACCATTGTTCTGATTTCTGTCACTACAAATTAGTTTTGCCTATTCTTCAATTTCATATAAGTATAATTATAAACATGTCTATTTCATATCTGGCTTCTTTGAATCAATATTATGTGTGTGTCATTTGTAGTTTGTTAAATAACATTCTTTTGTGTGAATGTACTACAACTTAGTATTTTGTCCTACTATTCTGGGCATTTAGGTTGTTTGGACTACTGCTACTGCTTTTAGGATGTTGCTACTTGTTTTTTGGTGAACATTTATGCATTTCTCTTGGTAGAATATGTAGGAGGGGAAACACTGGATTATAGACTATATATAGCATCTAAATACACACACACACACACACACACACACACATTTACATGGTGTCAGATTTCCAAAATGGTTTTACCAGTTTACACTTACCGGTAGTAAATGAGCATTCCAGAAACTCTACTTTCTAGTCAACACTTGGTGTCGTCGGTTGCGTTTTTGCTATTCTGGTGGGGATGTAGTGCCGTATTGCACTGGGATTTTTGTCTTGTGTTCTGTGGTGCCTGCTCATTGAACACCTTCACATGTGTGTATTTGCCAGTATGGTAGCTTCTTTTGTGAAGTGCCTTCTATTGGGCTGTATTTTTGTTTTCACTGGTTTGTAAAAATCTCTCATATATTTTGGATATAAATCTCTTATATGTAGGTATTCCTCAGAGCTAGGTTCCCGACCACCCAAGAGTGAGTTTGCTGGTAGAGAGTCTCGCCTTCAGTCTGTAAAACATACAATGTCTGTGAAGCACAGTCAAGTTAGATGTGCCTCAGTGTGTGTCACACACATACACATATGTGCATGTATGTCAGGGTTGCTTTTTAAATTGTAGGAGCTAACAGTTTTAATATAGTCCAATATAGCACTTTTTTCTTTATCGTGAGCACATTTTTTTAACTCTGAAATTTTTGTTTTTCTAAAGTCATGATGATACGTTCTAGTGTTTCCTTCTAAAAGATCTGTTTTTAATCTTTCACATGTAGAGCTACAAAGCCATCTGGACATCATTCCTGTGCATGGTGTGAGGGAGAGGTCAAGATTAAATTTTTTCTCTTGAAAAACTCATATTCCCCCCTGTCAACTGCAGGGTTATTTTTGTATAAATATTTATATATTTCTTGACTCTCTTATTTCATTGGTCTCTCTGCTTATCCTTACGTCAGCACCGCACTGTTTTAGGTACTGTAGCTTAGAGTAAGTATTGGCGCCGGGTAGTGTGAGCATTCCATCCTTGTTCTCTTCCAAGCTTCGCTCAACTTGCCTTATTCAGTCTATTTAAGTATTAGAATGAACTTGTCGGTTTCTGCAAAAAGCCCTGCAGGGATTTGGATTTGGATTGCATTGATGTTGTTGACCAGTTTGGGCAGAATGGACGCTTGCTGTAGTGAGTCTTTCAGCCCACAGTGTGTCAGCTCAGTACTTGTTCTATTTATTGGGGATTTTAGAAATATTTTCTGGTAATGTTTTGTACTTTTCTGTAAAATTTTACACATATTTGCTTTATTTTAGGTATTTGAGTTTGTTGTTATAAATTATACTTTTAAATTTTATTTTTTACATTTTTGCTGTATATGCAAATATATTTGATTTTGGTATTTTGACATGTTTTTCCAGTGACCTTGGTAAATTCATTTATAATTTGCCTGTGAATGTTATTGGAGTTTCTGTGTGTAATGTACAATCATGCCATTTCTATATATAGTGTACAGTCACACTCCTTGTGTGTGTGCTGTGTGGCCACACTACTTCTGTATGTACTGTTCAATCACACCACTTCTATATGTACTGTTCAATCACACCATTTCCGTGTGTACTGTACGGCCGTACCATCTGCAGAGTCTCCATTTCCCCACCCTCCCCTCTACTGCACTGGTCAGGACCCTGACATAATGTTTGATTAAAATGATGATAGAATTCAGGAGAGTTTTAATAGTTCACCATTAACTCTCTATACTGTTTGTCTGAGTGTGTGTGTGTGTGTGTGTGGGGGGGTCAATATACATTTTTCGTCAGATTAAGGAAGTTTCCTTTTATTTCATTTGCTGAATTTAAGTTGTGAGGGAATGTTTATTGTTACCAAATGCTTTCTCTACATCCTTTGAAACGATCATATTATTATTATTTTTTTCTGTTATTTTGTTAGTGTGGTAGATTACATTTTTTGATTTTCAAATGTTAAACCACTTTTTCATTCCTACAGAGAATTCTCTTGGTTGTGATGTACAGTAAACCCTTGATTTTGTGGACCTAGATTTAACGGATTTCGGATTTAACAGACAAAATTTCTGATCTGTGTGTCATATGTAAAAATTAACATCTTGTTAATTTTAAAATGCTTTTAGCCAAGATTTGCTTAAAATTAAATTTAAAGGTTTTTTTTGTTTGTTTGTTATTCACTGTTTATAACAAATTTTAGCGAATAGGCCATATGTTGGAAAACACATGATAGTAATTTCACCTACATAAATAAATAATACATATTTACACTATAGTCTCTGTATATAAATCCAAGAGTCACTTCTTGTGAACAGTGTTTGGTGAATCGAATGGTCAGCATGTGGTCACACCACGTCCCGCGCGGGCACTGGCTCTGCGGCCATGTCGTGTGTCTGTGCAGCAG